AGGATGGTCTCGATCTCTTGACCTCGTGATCCACCCGCCTCGGCCTCCCAAAGTGCTGGGATTACAGGCTTGAGCCACCGCGCCCGGCCCTAATCAGTATTTTTTAATTAAAACTTTCCAGGTGATCCCAACATGTGGGCTAATATGGGAAGCAGTGTTGCGGATGCTGGTCACAGCTACCGGGAAACAACGTTAAGACCAGGCCCCTGAAGTCAGGTTCCAGCCTCAGTTCCACCACTCTCTTCCTACAGAACCACACCAGGTATGTCATTCTACCTCCTTGGACTTCAGTATACTTATCAATAAATGCATGGGTTCAACACCACATTCAATAATCTTTCCATGTCTCAAAAATTGGCAAGACTTTCTAGGTAGCTGCCTGTGACATGGAGTCACATGAGGCACGGTCTTCCTGAAGTCACCATGGCCAGTGAACCTTAGGTCTGTTTCCCAGCTTTCTTTCAAAGGATTTACACACGTGTGGGGTGAAGATGAAGGGTGTCCGACTCCCCCAGGGTTCTTGTTTAAAACGTACTCAATACCCCAGACTCTGGGGGATGAGGGTAGGGAATGGAGGGTAGCTTCAGGAATCTATAATTTAACAAGCTCTATAAATGAATTCTTCTGTCCTCTGAAGTTTGAGAACATAATAAATACCAGGCCGGGCGCGGTGGCTCAAGCCTGTAATCCCAGCACTTTGGGAGGCCGAGGCGGGTGGATCACGAGGTCAGAGATCGGGACCATCCTGGTCAACATGGTGAAACCCCCTCTCTACTACACCTCCACCAATTCGCTGGGTGTGGTGGTGAGCGCCTGTAGTCCCAGCTACTTGGGAGGCTGAGACAGGAGAATGGCCTGAACCCAGGAGGCAGAGGTGGTGAGCTGAGATCACGCCACTCTACTCCAGCCTGGGTGACAGAGCAAGACTCCTTCTCAAAAAACAAAATTGGAGTTTCTAAGCCTGCTAAGCTCTGTGTTTTCGTCTCCAGCAGAAGAATCCCTAGAAGTGGGGCAGAAGTTCAGTGGGTGGGATTTTTCTTTTATTAGGCCAACTCCTGCCTATGACACTGTCCACCCATCTAGAGATGTCAACTCTGCAGACACAGCCCTGGCCCTGCCCTAGCCAAACACCCACCTGCTGTCTGGATGACAGAGGCAATCCAGTACACCCGGCTGGGGAGCACGGCGTCACTATTGAGCACCTCCACCTTCATCCCTTTCATCACATCCTCCCACTGGTCATAGAGGGGGACCTGTGTGGCAATGAGAGTTACCGAGAGTGAGAACTGGGCTAGCAGGACAGAGGCGGCCTCATGGCCTCAGTCAAGTCCTTTGCACTTCAACTTTTTGGATCACCTACTGTGCGCAGAACTAGCCACTAGGGATAAAGAGATGAAGTCCCTGGCCGGGTGTGGTGGCTTACACCTATAATCCCAGCACTCTGGGAGGCTGAGATGGTCAGATCATGAGGTCAAGAAATCAAGCCCATCCTAGCTAACATGGTGAAACCTGTCTCTACTAAAAATACAAAAGTTAGCCGGGCGTGGTGGCACGCACCTATAGTCCCAGCTACTTGGGAGGATGAAGCAGGAGAATCGCTTGAACCCAGGAGGTGGAGACTACAGTGAGCTGAGATTGTGCCACTACATTCC